TAATAGTTCACGAAAATTATTATTTTCGTGAACTATTAGTACTTCAGTGTGTAAATTTTCTTGTTTCGTCTCCATACACATGGTCCTTCGCGAAAATTGTTTCAATTTTTCCATATCTCGACGCTTCTGCTTCTGGTGTTGCCAGATGTTTTTCCTTTATTCCATAAGTGCTTAGGACCATATAAGGAAATTTATAAAGATCTTTTAACTAGAAGCAAGCAATCTAAAATTACATACACTTTTTGCAAAAGGTAAAGCATGAATCTGAAGATAATGCAGAAAAATGCTCAGAGGATAACGATAACTTGCCAAAAATAAAACGTTCTCGGTTAATAGTGCTTTTAGTGATGACAAAGAAAACATTGTTTAATTTATATTAATATGTATCACTTAAGAAAATTTTAATAAAGATATTTATCTTAATTATAAAAATATAGTAGAATGTTTTTTAATTTTTGGAACCTAACCCTCCTTTTCGTACTAGTTCTTTGTTTCGCATAACACGGATTCGCATAACACGGCAATTTTTTGGAACGTAACTACCGTGTTATACGCGGGTTACCTGTAGTGAAAATATGAATATAACAAATGTAAATGTTGATTAGTTAATTCCCCTTATACATATTTCCCTTTATTTTTAGGATTATATTTTAGGGATCCTTTGTATATAGAATACTGTAAAATTAGCATAACAATAATAAAACTTTTATCAACAATTATAATTTAATGTTAATATAAATTATGTAAACTAAGTATTTTAATAATAATAATGTTTTGGTACTATAAACTAATTAGCCAGACAGAAATTAATGTATACTGCTACATTACATTTAAACTGAACTTTTAGAATAATGATTACATTGAAAAATGTTCATTTATTTATCACAGATATTTTCAGTTACTATTACAGGAGTTATGTGTTGTGAATCCATCAAAATTTTCTGATGATCCAGCAACAAATGAAACACCCAATAATAATAATAATAATGATAATCGCAGTAATTTTAAAGTTGTTGATGAATATACACTAGAGTATTAAAAAGCGCAAATGTATTTTTTTAAAAGAAGAGCAAAGAGTTAAAATGAATTCTACGAAGGAAGGTTGAAGTAGAAAGAGAGAGCATGATTGAAGAATTGAACTGCTGCAAGAAAAGGCACTACACAGAAGAGAAGACCAATTAAAAATAAAATTATTAAAAGAAAAATTAAAAAGCATAAATAAACCTAGTAACTTTACATTATCATTTTGCTGTTTGGTATTTGTATTCTAAAATTAAAAGAAAGCCTAGAACATCTTATTAATGAATTTAATTTATTTATTTATCTAAACATACTGGCACAAACCATGATGCAGGGAGAAGAATGAAAAGCAAAACACAAATATAAAAATCATATAACATATTCCACAAATATATATATCAGTAAATTAATAATAAAACAAAAATTAAATACTGTAAATTCGAAGCATAAATTTACACTAACATGAGATAACTGTTCAAAAATAAAGAAAATAAATTGATAACCATCAGACTAAGGTACATTTTACCTAGAAAATAATAATAAATCAACAACTAAATCACTTGTTCGCAAAATCGCATGTCTCCCCAATTGAATTTTTATAATTATTTTGTTGAAAATTATAATTTTTATTTACTAATTTATTTTAATTACACATTCAAATTTAATGAAAGTAATAGAAAATTCTTTGAGAGGTCCAAACTAACCTTTGTGTGAAATTTTGATTTAGCATGATAACATATTCACAATAAGCTAATTTGATGATTAAAAATTTCAATTAACATTTTAAAGGAAAAGGAAACAAAAGGACTAGATGTACAGTATATATAACAATATTTATTCATTTTTGCTTTTAAATTTTGTATTTTTTAATTAACTGTAAGTATTTTTCTATCTATTAATTTACTAAAAACGAAAAGATTAATCTGAAAAACTAACATTTTCCAAGAAATTTTTGTTGTTTACTATTAAATACAATACAGCCTACATTATTTTCATTAAGTTTAATAATTAACTTATCAAACACAACTCACAATCACATTAGTATATAAATATACAAACAAATTTTATTTATACAAAAATAAATTATTTTACAAAAGCTTTATTTGAATTTTATGATGCTTTATTTATAAACTAGCAGGTTGGCCCGGCGTTGCTCGGGCAAAAGTAACGATAACGAAGATAAAAATTATTACGTTACAGTCAGCCTCACCCGTTTTCACAGAATGCAAGAATTGGGTCCCCTTGTTTGAAAACTAATTAGAGAATTTTTAGATGGGTCTAAAAATATGTTCGATTTCCCGCAAAAACAAAAAAAAAAACTGCATCTGCGTATTGCAGGTCGCTTTCTCTTAACAATTCCATTGTTACGTAACACTTCCATTGTTACTTAACACTTCCATTGTTACTTAGCACTTCCATTGTTACTTAACACTTCCATTGTTGATGGAAGTGTTAAGCCTTAATCCTGTCCCTCTCCCCCATGGGGACTAATTTCGAAAAATCCCTTCTTAGTGTGCGTTTTCGTGACGTACCCTATCTGTGTACCAAATTTCAACTTTCAACTCCTAACCGTTTGGGCTCTGTGCTGATTATTATTATTATCAACTCGTCTCGATTATGATTATATATATATAGATTACATATAAGCCCATGTTCCTCGTACAAATAGTAACGATAGCTAAGATTAAGATTATTACATTATAGCCAATCTTACCCGTTTATACAAAATGCAAGAATTAGGTCTCCCTGTTTCTATACTAATTAAACTATTTTTAGATGGGTCTGAAAATATGCTTTTAAAAAAATAAAACAAATACAGAATGAATAAAATTTTATTGTTATACCAAGAGTTCGTACTCGCACTTGCTAATTATAACAATGACACATGTAAATTTTCGTTTATTTAATTATTTTGGTATACACATAACGAGAAACTAAAGTTTTAATCTATATATATAAAATTGTTTGTCCTGACTGACTGAATGACTCACTCAGTGATTCATCATCGCCCACAGCAAACCGCTGGACCTACAGGTGAAATTTGGTACACAGTTAGGGTACGTCATGAAAACGCACACTAAGAAGGGATTTTTCGAAATTTCAAAGTGGGGGGAGAGGGAGAGCATTAACGCTTAACCGGAAGAACGGCTTCTACTGTACTATTTTAGATGCGATTTTGTTTTTATCTGCGTTGTACTAGGGTACGCCATGGAAATGCACACTAAAAAGGAATTTTTCGAAATTCCCCCTCGGGGGGAAAAGGAAAGGATTTAGTCTTCATTGAGTAATTAAATGTATTAAATTAATAACATTTCAGACATTGTTATAAATATTTTTATCTATTTCGATTTTACAAATGTTGGAAACGTTTTAAATTCGAATTTGTTATTGCATATTGGTTCGATTATAGAACGATTGTAAACATTCCATAAAATTGATCAAATTGAAAATAGTTCGTTTGATTCTCGGCAATTCTCATCATTCTCAGCGGTAGGTGTTATATTACAATTACTATGGTTGTTGAAATACTGAATATAAATGGGGTTTGCTTGCAAAATTAGCGCGGGCAAAGCCGCGGGTAACAGCTAGTAAATATATAATATTACTTAGCAGGCTACACAATTTAACGTGACGTTAAATAAATTATGCTAAGTGGCCAGGCAGATGGAAATAAAAGTGTCACAAACTAAACTTTAAAACACATGACTTTTTTGCAAAAATTTAATTCTGGGTTCAAGTGCCATGAGATTAAGAAAAAAACTTACGACACATCTTATCGAAACAAACGAGTAAACAAACTCATCGGAGAAAATTTTGACTTCAGATTCTAAACTAAAGTTACAAATAAAAAATTTCCGCGAAGCGAAACACTATAAAATTTGTTTGTAAAAGAATTTACTAATAAATACAGAGTTCTGTAAATTAACAAATAGGATGCTTTTTACATGAAATTATAAAATTAAAAGTAAATTACATCTGAATGTAAATATCGTGATGCTTTTTTAGTTAAAGTTTCAGGAAATTCAACGAAATTAACAAATGATTTTGATTTTAAACCTGTTTTATTTAAATATTTTGATCGTTATACATAATAAAAATTATAACTTTTAAAGAAAAATTGTTTCTAAGCGAATTTTTTAATGTTTTTTCTAGGTCCGTATTTCGAATGAATGTCTATGGACATAATTGACGTACGGTTTTTCTCCTTAGTGGATACGAAGTTTGTTTATTTAAACTTTACTTTCCTAAAATTTTTCTTTTAACTCATAACAACTGTAATGATTTTATTTCGTGTGGGTGCGAAGATGTCTAATTAAGTTTCCTTTATGTGTAAATTTTTGTTTACACTCATCACAAGTGTAAGGCTTTTCTCCAGTATGGATGCGAAGGTGTGTAATTAAGTGTTCCTTCCGTGTAAATTTTCGTTTACACTCGTCACAAGTGTAAGGTTTTTCTCCAGTATGGATTCGAAGATGTATAATTAAGTCTCCCCTTTGTGTAAATTTTTGTTTACACTGGTCACAACTGTAAGGCTTTTCTCCAGTGTGGGTGCGAAGATGTCTAATTAAGCTTCCCTTTACAGAAAACTTCTGTTCACACTCGTCACAAGTGTAAGGCTTTTCTCCAGTGTGAATGCGAAGATGCGTAATTAAGTCTCCCCTTTGTATAAACTTTTGTTTACACTGGTCACAACTGTAAGGCTTTTCTCCAGTGTGGGTGCGAAGATGTCTAATTAAGCTTCCCTTTACAGAAAACTTCTGTTCACACTCTTCACAAGTGTAAGGCTTCTCTCCAGTGTGGGTGCGAAAATGTCTAATTAACACTCCTCTTTGTGTAAACTTCTTTTTACATTCTTCACAAGTGTAAGGCTTTTCTCCTGTATGTATTCTTTCATGGGTTTGCAAATTTTGTTTAGATGTAAAGTTCTTCTTACAGTGTTTACATGAAAATATCTTTCGGTTCCTTTTATCTGCAATTAAAAAAATTGATCTAAATAATATCTTATCTGTGTAAAATCAATTAATTTTCTTCAATCACAACAATAATTAACCAGTAATAATATTTAACTAAAAATAAGCATTTTTATATCTAAAAGCACATTTCTTCATCAAAACAAAATGACTATGTTTAGAGATGAAATGTTCGAGCGTAAGTATATCATATTACTAATATTTTCAACCACAGCTAATCGTAGATAACATATTAAAGTAAACAATTTATGTAAAACATTTATAGAATGTTTGTATATTTTCATGCTTTTCCATTGATCTTTATTTGTATATTTATGTAATGGATCTTTCTCCTGCTTCTTCGTTGACATTGTTAAATGAGGAGCATCGATGTAAGTAAAATACTATTTAATATACAATTTATTCTTTAATCTTCGAAAATCTTTTCTTCTAAACTTCGTGATTCATCCAAAGAACAACTGAAAGTAATAACAATACACATGAAATAAATTCTATAAATTTTAATTTAATTTGACATTTTTAAAATTAGAATGTTTTATTCATAATCTTGTCCATTTATATTGTTAAATGTATAATTGTAATATTGGTTCTATTCAAATGAAAAGGATACAATAATTTTATGAAATATTTTCTTCATAGCACATTTCCTGTAAGACGAATTCACAACGTTCTAGGCTGTAAAATAGAAATTCTTAACAGTTAATTGTAGATTTCATTCTTCTCCTTCTGTAGTTTCTGTTTCCTGTATTTTCAATATGAAAATCAGCTAAATGAAAAAATAAAACATGCTGAAATATCAGACAAAATTTATATTCAAAGTTTTTTGTACAGTGATTAAAATTTGTATTCTCTACGCTAAATCTTTTAAAGTATATCACACCTCCTTTTGAATTATTTGATATTTACAGTGTACACATGTAGTAAAATTACAACAATTTTTGAAAAATCACTTTGGTATTCGAACCTCAACTGCGATCATATTAAATAATTAAAAATGTTTTCATTAAATTTTGTTACTTCATTAAAAAAATCCAGCTACCAGTTCCTTAAGTTACCCTACAACATTTAAATCTGATCTAAGATAAATCTGTTATAAAATAGCAAAACTCTCAATTTTTAGGATAGAAATGGGTTTTGTTAAAAAAAAAAAAAATGTAAATACTGTAAGGTCTATTTTTATGCGGATTATTTTTATGCGATTTGGAAGTTGTGGGGTTTGTATTTCATCCGAAAATTTCATGGACAAACATACATATAGGCTTGTTTAGGAAGCCTGCGTATAGACAGTCTCCAAAAATCGTGGAACGCTCAAAGCTCACTCCGTTTGTTCCACTGACATATAACGTTTATGGATGTAAAGAATAGCTAGATCTACCTTAATCGCTTTAGTTCCTAGCAATTTTTGATATAAATGTAATTAAACATAAAAAATACTTAAAACTGAAAAAAACGAAAGAAATGCGTTAATTTTGAAGAAAAAGCTTCAAAGTTTAACTTCCTTTGTCTCGCCCTTCTGTGAAATTTAACACCGATGAGTCATTGTTTACACATCTGGATGACCTTGAACACAGCTGGAGTTGGATTTCCCGGGGCATTCTCATAGACGTCGCGGGAGGACAAGGGTTTAAAGTAGGGTGAATACTAGCTAGACCTATATTTTTAAATATTTTTAAAAAATTAAAATTTTTATTGCGATTTCCGACCCCCCCAGTTTAATTAAACTTATATATAATAAAATATATTAATTAAAAAATTAAAAAACTATTGGAGGTCGTTTTTGACATCAGAAAGTAGCTTTAAATAACTTTACCGAAGTCAAATCCGTGCACTACAACTTTAGAACGATTAATTAAATTTGATTTAAAAAATCGTATTAAAAAACAATTAAGCGTTAATCGCGCGTCATTAAAGATTGATTAAAATCGCGATAAAATTTTTTTGCTCGGGTAAAAATTTTTGAAAAGATTTGGAGACTTAAAAAACATTCCGAAAAAAATAAGTCGCTGAAAGGTACCAATTTTCCATCATTTAAAGATGTAAAAAGAGTTGTTCTGACATGGTTCAGATCACATGACCCTCAGTTCTACTCAGATGAACTTAAAGGCTTGTATCAACGTTTGCAGAAGTGTATCGACCTTAATGGAGCATATGTTGAAAAATAATCATTATAACTGAAATCATTTTTTCATACCATCCTTATTCCATGAAATTTTTGAAGCCCCCTCGTAGCATCAATGGCCCTAATACAAAAACCTCCCTGAAAATTTTAGAAATTTTCTACAGAAGACATAGAAATTATTAAGTTCCGAAAGGAAGAAGAAAATATTGCTCCCACAAACACCCACACAAACATCCATATATACACTTAAACGAAAGACTTTGTGTACGACACATATACGGCCTGTTTAGTTGGCGAAAAAAAGGGTTAAGGAATGAAGAAGGAGAAAGAAAAGATAAACAGTAGAGAAAGGTACGATCCCTCTGAACGGTGTTCATTTGGTTACTGAACCCTCTAAGTTTAATGTTGGCGTGCAGTTTTTAGGCTGCAAGGCTGTTGTCCCCAAAGGGTCTAAGGAAAACCTAAGAATAGCGAACACCAATAATTGAGGGCCGCCACGAATATCTAAGAGTAGAGGTTAGTGCCAAGTGGCTGTTAGTCTATAGCTTCTATCTACTTAATAGTAATAATAGAGAACGCGAGCGCGAGACTTAAGGCTAACTTAACTGCTAGATAGACAGCGCGATAAACAAACGAGGACAACGACAAAACAGACAACATAGAAAAAACAAATTAGCAAGACCAACGTTTTCTTATACACTAACCTAACAAAACCTAATCGAGAAGCCATAGCTAGCATGCCCTAATTTAACTTACAAATAAGACTAACCGAAAACTGAGTGAAAGGTAACGAGAAGAAAAGACAAAAATAAAAAAAGGAAATAAGGCAACTATTGATTAACTACAGAACAAACCAAGGGGAAGCTACTTGCCATCCATTGCACAGGAGTGAATACCCTCAATGGCCCCACAAAGAGTTATGAATGCGATATGTTGGAATATTGTAGGTGTGTGAATGAGTTGGTGCGAGTTGCATGGCCAGGTGTAACCTTTAAGAATAACCGCTCTCATTACGCTATTCCTGATTATCTGTATAAACAACAAAATCCTCCGAACTTTTGCATTTTTCGATGTTTCATCACCCGTGTCCAAAACATGTAAAAATCTACTAGGCGTGTTATTTTTTCCTAATCGCTTTGTTATACAGAAGGATTGGTGAAAAAAGTATAAATGCCAAAAATTGCAATTACTGCACTTAAATGAAGAGTTCAATAAATATGTAGGGACTTATATTTTATGATAGTCTTTAAACTTAACAAAAATATTCAAAAGTAAAATAAAGATTCGAAAAGTAAAACTAGCGCATTTATCGTATTGTCTACTTCGAACAACTCGTTATACGTTAACTAAAGTGTAATGTGGTATAATATGTTCCTGTTACCACTCGTTGACTGAAGATACTTATTTCGTGAAATTATATTTACTTACCTAAACAGTGTCTGCAGAGAATTTTGTTACAGATTGATAATATTCCTATTAAAGGTGTGGGATATTTTCTAGATAAATTTATTGAATAACCTCCCGATATACAACATTTCTTTTTTATCATCAAGGGCACAAATAAACAAAGATTTTCAGCTACTAACACGCGAACACGCAACATAGAGTCGGCCATGTGAAAAGAAACTGAATCCAAGGTCAAGTCGTGCAACTCTGAAACTTTGGTTTTGTGGCTTTTTAATAATCATTGGAAAAAATAGACTTACTGGATCTTGTAAGCATTCGAATGGATAGTTTGGTAATGGTATGCAATTAAATGATATATCTGTCCTTCAATTTTGAAGGTTAGGATAAAATTTCTTTCAAGTGTTTCAGTAGAACGAAAATCTGTTATTTGGAAGGCACTGTCGTAAGCTTTATTGTTCTTCAGGAGATGTTTAGTGTCTGGATGAGTCTCATTTAAGAGAGAGAGAAAAAGTTCGAAGAGCAAGAACAACCAGTTTAACTTTGTGATAAATCCTGTGATTCATTCTTCCACTTCAGAGCACTGCAATACACACATACTTTATCCATACACCCAATGATGTATGGATAAAGTATGTGTATACAACTGATGATAAATAGTATGAGTGTCATAAATAAAAGCACTTCGGAGTTTTTGCGCCAAAGATTTCTTATTTCCCAGTAGGTATAATCTTCGCTCACACAAATAAACAAAACTCATGCAAACACAGCTAGGCCTAACGAATCACGAACACAATATATAATAATTGAAAAAATCCCGCCATATGTACAGTACATGTACTGCCATCTAGCATGATGACGTCACTTTTTAATACTTGGAATACTGTATTTTACTAATAAACTAATTATTTTTTAATGACAATTCTTCAAACACAATAGTAAACTTCAATAATTATTCAAGTACTTATGAAACTGTGCCGGTAATTGTTATGCTACTTGAACATCAACTACATAGTGTATTCATTCCGACACAAGGCTAATCTCATCATTAATTTTTATTTAGTTGATACGTGTACTTAATGTTTGTACACGTTTCGGGTATTCATGCCGCTTTTCAGTCAACTAAAGCACTAATACATAATGATTACAAATTACAATATACAGTAAACTCCCGATTATCCGGGCTAATGGTGGGGAGAGGTGACACAGATAATCCAAACTACATTTATTTATTTGAAAAAAATATTATGAATTTTTTTTATAATACTACGTACATATAATCAAATCTTAAATTGTGATACGTATAATAACACGCAACTAAACGAAACTTTGTATAAATGTACTCACTATCGTTTTCTCCTCCGAAAAGAAACATCAGGCGCGAAAGAAGTGGCCTAACTAAAACCAGTCCAGCTGACTTCAGATACCTCCACCAACCGCTTCAAACGTCTAAATACGAACGCGTGCACACTTATAGGATGCGTAAACATGAAAGCAAGCAACTATTTAAAAAATACATACACATATAATTATTTCTTTTTAAATAAATTCATGGACGGATAATCCGCGCACGGATACTCCGGAGTTTACTGTATAAATAAATAGGTTATGCTGTATAAAACATACCTGCAAATCCCAGATCTTTGTAAAGTTAAAACCGTTTTATATATTCGACCCTCACCGTTTATTAGCCCTTCTTATCTAACGGGGAATTATACAATAATTATCGCGTTAATTTTATTTTAATAACAATGCTATAAATTCCTATAAATTTACAACATACCTAGATTTTCATTTTACATCAATTCGGAGTAGCTTTTATCGTACAAACAGATTTTTACTTGTTTTTTACACCTATATAACATTTTTAATTTGTTGATGCGTACGACCGTGTTCATTTACATAATGATGTGGTAGACAGGCCACCTTGTGGCAGAACACACGTTAAAGAGATTTTAATTTTTACCTAATTTTGATTATAACGTTTTTAAATAAAAATTTTTTTATTAAAATAAAAAATTTTAATAAAATAAAAATTTTTTAGAATAAAAAAATCAGCTAAAAATGTTATACATATGTTTTATACAGCATAACCTTTTTATTTGTATATTGTAATCTGTAACCATTATGTATTTGTGTTTTAGTTGACTGAAGAGCGGCATGAATGGCCCGAAACGTGTACAGACATTAAGTACACGTATTAACTAAATAAAAATTAATGATGAGATTAGCCTTGTGTCCCAGTGAATACACTATACAGTCGGTATTCAAGTTGCATTCAATAATACACTTTTCTTATATATACAGTACTTTTTTTACAAGACGTACTGATTGATATGTAGCCAGTTTGGTTAAAATATCTTAAAACGTTTTCTCGTAATGAAACAAATTTTTTGACCACTACAGTTTAATTTGAAGTACTGTTTAATTATAGAAGATTTAAATGCAGGTTGTATTTACCTACGTATCACGTAAAGAGCAGTTTTTCATGTTGATTCCTCCAATATCGGTATATATTATTCTAACGGACATAGTATACGTAGCATATATAATTAGTTAAAATACAGGGTATATGTACAGTATATTATTTATCTTTTCGACTATAAAAATCTCACTTTGAATTCTAAATTGCAAACAGATTGGACTGGACAATTTAAATGACAAATGAAAATTGCGATGAACGTAAATACTCGTACATTGATTAATTATTAATTCTTCAGAATACGACGTGGACAGATGAACGACAAAGATAAATGAAACTTGTCATGAAAGAAAAAATGGACGAAGGTCGTTTGTGAAGTTACAAAGACAATTTGCTTGCAGCTTCCAGGGATGAGAAATGTATTGATATCCTAGCATTTATAATATCATTGATGATCTAAGCGACTAATAAAAATCGATATACGAATGTGTTTGCTTTGTAGTTACCGAGGCGTAATTTTTCGAACAGTTTTGCTTTTTTTATAAATAATTTATAAAAATAATCACACCTTAACCACGACAAAACTGCTAAGATCGTAAAAGACGTCATGAATACCGAAAATTTCACATATTAATGTGGTCGACAAATGTTTTCGTAATACGATCTTTGAACTTTTACCACACGAACATTGTTATCGTAAACGCTTAAAGTTTCTTTTTGTTATAATTGTGCTACGGTTCTGGTCGAATAAATGAATAACTCGGGTAAAGTTTATGGTTTCGTAAGTTCAACTCCAACAATAAACAGAAGTTTAATAACAGTAATATGTATGACAATCTATATATATAATCGAGATGGATTGACAATAATAATAATAATAATAATAATAATATGCGCAGAGCCCAAACGGCTAGGTGTTGAAAGTTGAAATTTAATACACAGTTAGGGTACGTCACGAGAACGCACACTAAGAAGGGATTTTTCGAAATTCCCCCCGGGGGAGAGGGACAGACAGGATTAAGGTTTCGACAATGGAAGTGCTAAGTAACAATGGAGTGTTAACAATGGAAGAGTTAAGAATGGGAGTGTTAAGTAACAATGGAAATGTTAAGAGAAAGCGTGCAAGATTTACAGGCGCAGATGCTCTGTTTTGCGTTTTTGCTTTTTTGTTTTTGTTTTTGTTTTTTAATAGGGTACGTCACGAGAATATACACTAAGAAGATTTTTCGAAATTTCACCAGCCAAGGTGAGGTGGTTAACACGTCCCCCCGCGGGAAGTGTCAACAATGAAAGTGTTAAGAGAAAGCGACGTGCAAGATTTACAGATGCAGATGCAGTTTTTTCGTTTTGCAAGAAATAGAACATATTTTTAGACCCATGTAAAATTCTTTAATTAGTCTGGAAACGGGAAGACCTAATTCTTGAATTCTTTCAAAACGGGTAAGATTGGCTATAATATAATTTTTTTGATCTTCGCTATCGTTACTTCTTGCCAGAGCAAAGCCGGGCCTATCTGCTAGTAAATAATAATTGACAACTTATCCAGATTACTAGCGAGGTTAAGACCGAAATTTTAAACGCAAAATCGTGTACGTCGGACGTTCAGCGTCGCTTTCCTGTAAGCCTAGAAAGACAGTGGCGTTTGGATAGTCAGTGAAATCATGCTCGACATTCCAAACACCATTGACAAACTTCTAGGCTTACAGATAGACGGCGCCGAACGTCCGATATACACGTTTTCGCGTTTTAAATTTCGGCTTCAATCTCGCTAGTCTTTGCTAACAGATAGAGTATTGTTCGGCATTTTACACTCTGTCCCCGTCCTAACTCCTAGGGCCTTTATTCGACGCCTACGCCCTCCGAAAGAGTATTTAAACCAATTTAGTTTGTTATAAAATACTCCGTAACTAATCAATTCTTTTAGAATATTAAAGATGGAAGTTTTCATTTTCTTAAAATTGGTTATGGAAGACGGCGTCCATTATTTAGAGCAGTGTTTTTCAATGTGTGGGTCGCGACCATCAGGGGGTCGCAAAGCCTTAGATGGGGGTCGCGGGTAAAAGAAAAAGACAATTGTTTGTAGGTCCTACACTACAATAAAAAAACTACAATTTCAGTGAGCTTCTTTGGAATGTTTGCTTGAGAGGTGACGGATAAGCTTTGATGGTTTCATACTCTCACGTTATAATACATCGCCACAAATTACACATTAAGGTTTATTATTCATGACAGTAAACCCGTATTTCAAGTAATTGTCATCATAATGTCTATTTTTATCGGTTTTGATTGACTTCCGTCACTGCCACTTGTACCAAACGTGGAGGGCTGCGATCTTTTGAGAAACTTATCCATTTTATGCTCGTGCGGAGCAAAGCGCAAAGATAATACAATCACGTCTGTACTCGTTGGCGCACTCGGACAACTGATGGAAACAAAAGAAAGCGAGCGTACAGTACGTTACTGCGCGGGTGGCGGGAGGCGCACTGGCCTCCAGGCAAAGTTACTATTTGCAGGGCTCTTGCAACTTCTTTGCACAGTACAATTGGTTTTTCGATCGATATTTAGGTCTCAGCAGAAAGAAAATTAAATACGTAGTTTTTAAAGTCACTGACATAGTTTTAATATGGCCCTGGGGGTCGCCAGAATTTTTTAACTTGTAAAGGGATCGCGTATTCAAGAAGGTTGAAAAACACTGATTTAGAGTAAATATAATAGATGTCCTTTTGAAGGGTGTGGAGATTGTAAAAATGCCCGTTAAGTAGAGGTGGTTTCACTTTTCGGCAGTGTCCGTTAATACAGCGTTTACTGTATTATAATTTTTTGTTTACTCATCTTACATAACTTTGGAATTGTAGAAGTTCGAAGCAAGAAAATATTTCCAGAACCAATATTAGTGAGAAAATATCAAGGTAATTATGCAGTTTAACGGAATATGATTTTTTTTAATTATATTATACTTAAAGAATGTATATTTAATAGACATTCAGAAAACGCATAACATTTTTCCGGGCACCCCGTATTTACAGTGCTATAAACAAAAATTCATAGGACTATTTACAAGTTGTTCCCTGTTCGAGACGCCATTGCTTAAGCTTGCCCTCGTCGTGGAGGTGTACACTGGACGGCGGATGCACACAAATTGTGTCATGTGACCCGATTTCGACGTCACTCGGTCACGTGACTAGGTCTCTGACGCGTATCCGTGTAGCCTTTCTTCTCGCGGAAGAATCCGTTCTTATTTCACTAATCACGTGATAAAGCAAACGAGTTATTAACACGTGATTAACTCTTTTGTCACGTCGAACAGCTCGCGGTCTACAGTTTGACAACTTTGCCCAGTTACGCTTCCGTAACATCGTAACGTTCTATATGCAAATTCCAGTTAATATTTGACAACAACGATATATTTTTCGATTTTAACTCCTTAAAAACAGAACAAGTTAAATAATAAATAATAATTGAGTTACTTTAAAATTCAGATTAAATGCTTATAATAATTAAGGCTTAAATTTAATATCTAAACTTACAAACATATGTTTTATATAACTAATCGGTCTGATTTTAAAATCTAAAGTTATATGACAGTACAGTAGAGCGTCGATTATCCGAAAGTCAATTATCCAATGGAATTCCAGTCGGCAAATTTAAATTTTTGCCAGTGCTGTGGCGCTGCAATCTTTGGCAATGTCTTGGGCTACTCAAATATTTTACGTTTTTGATACTAAATTAACTTCTGAAGTATAATTTTTGATTGTTTATATATTTTTCAATATATTTATTTTGTTTGTACGAAATAAAAAAATAATTTTTAACGATACAATAGTTTTCGTTAGGCTTAACATCGACGAAAATTCAACGCGAAGCGACACGCAACAGAGAAAAATTTCAACATGGGATAAATTAATATATTTTTTCGTACATAAT